GATTAACATAGAAATAATTAACACAGGCAAATAAGTTTGTCCTAAATATATATACACTGTACATTAATATTTTTATAGAACATGATATGTAATTTCACTACTTAGATTATGATGACTTGACAATCTGTTACTTATAATATACTGTTATATATAATTTTAATTTTTATTAGTTACAATAAATAAGTTTAATTACACTCTTAACAGTCATGATGCACAAATGATTCATTTTACTATATAGTACTTTAATTAAATGTTAGACTTTGAGGTACTGTTTTGTGGTATATGTGCATGTATTTGTTATATTAACAATGTATTATAATAAGTTATTATTTAGTTATGAAAATTATTTCGTCATGTTCAGTCACCCACATTAATTTTCTCTTGTAATATTTGATAGTAACAAGCCTAAAAAATATAATTACTGATTAAATTTTAAAATCTTAAATAATTTTTCACGAAAACATCTTACTTTAAGAGTAGTGAACATAATTCCAAGTTCTCCATTTTGTAAATAAGGCTCCATGAAATCTTCTATAAAATGTATTTCACTGCCCAACTGTAATACACTAGCACGAACAACAACAAAACAAAAGACAGGAAACAATTCATCCATTGTCCATAAGTATGTAGTTCCCAATTGCTTCTGAACTGCCTATTATAAAAAATATGTAAGATACTAATAATAAATAAATAATAATATATACTAAAGAAATTGGCTTACTTGTGTCATTTGTTCAAATGTATTCCTAACGACTAATAATTTTTCTAACGGAGAGAACGTAGTTTTCAATTGTTGTAATGTCTCTATTGCTTCACTGAAGTACGGTTCACTTTGATACGGTAGTCCGTTTTCGTTTAAATTCATTACGTTTGTATTCTTCCAAAATTTTCTAAAGTTGTGGTAATTTAATTAATTATGCAAAATTTAATAATCATTGTGTTTTATATCTTTAATAATATTACTCACTGATCGATGTCCAAAAAAGCCATTAGCGTTATATCAGGCTGTTTGTTCCATTTCATTAATCTTTCCCAATAGGCATCATCTTCTTTCTTATTATGTAAAGCGTATAGTACAAAAAGTGCTGAATGCACACGAGGTAGCAATATTGGATGAAGTATTGCTGCAGCGCTTATAACTTGACTGATGAAATAAGTTAAAATAAGGAAACATAACACGATATAAATATAATAAATAAATAATGAATTATAAATATAATTAATTAAAACGTACCCTTCTTCTTCACTTTCTGTTTCCAATACATATTCTTTTCCACCTCGTGGTAATGCCGGAAATAATAGAATAACTATTTCATATATTCTTGAAGTAATACTACGAAGTTCAGATACAGCATGACTGAGTAATAAAGGATGAACTCTTACACCGCCGTACGTAGCTGTATATACAGCAGCAACTTCCGTTAGAAGTGCTCCTAATGGATGATGTGAACTATCAAATGCTTTAATCAAGTATTTATGAATTTCACTGTAGCTCTGAACCGTCAGTTTATCTCTTCCAAAACAGGGAATTTTATCTAAGTCATCAATTACTTCATTATTTTTCTCTTTACTAGTATTAGTGAATATCAAAAGTTTTTTTCGTTGTAAAGATTTTTGATGTGACTTAGTTATTATGCTGGCAATATTTTGCCAAACACGTTGCGTTTCTGCAAACTTATCAGTTATAGCTGTAACTTTCGAACCTGGTTCAGGTACACCAAGTTGTTGATAACATTGTCTAAATATAGCTTTCCATTTTTGATCTGGTGATACACATAACTTGCCAAAAGATCTACATTATATAACATATAATAAGTAAATTTAAATTACACTACAATACATATTATTAACAGTAAACTACTTACGTTGGTTTTGAATTAGTTTGTACATTTCCACTAGCTTTATTCATATGCAATGTTGCAATAACTTTTACACCTTCGTTCCATGCACCATTCATATTACCTTCTAATCGGTCGCCACTTGTAAAAGTTAAAGTACCTTTACCATAAAAAATACCAGCTGATTTAAATTCACCTTCGTAATGAGTACCATCTTCAAACACCATGACTCCGTGACCCTTTTATCAGAAGCATTTTATTTCAATATTTTAAGCTTATATTTATCGAACGTCTAATTATATTTAGTTATTTACCGTTAAAACGTCTTGCATAAAAACTCCTTCATAATAAATACCATCTAAAGTTACTATTAAACCACAACCATGTTTCATGCCATTACTCCATGATCCCAAGTATTTTTCACCTGAAATAATATACAGTTTAATTAAACAATATTTATTTATCTATGTAAGAAAGAGTTTAATTTTACTAGAACAAAAATCTTATTTTCTTTTTGTTTACAATTAGGCTAATAATCAATACCTGTCATAATGTCGTCCATAATTCCATATCCTTGTTTGACACCTGCAGCCCATTCTCCAATGTAAACAGATGCTACAGATGCCATAAAATGCCCTTCTTTTTTAACCCCATGACCATGTGGTAATCCATCTTTGAAATATCCTTCATAAAAGTCTCCATTATTGTATCTAGAATATTTTCCATCTGTTTTTAAACAATATACATTATATAAAACTATAATCAAAATTTAAATTGTTATTTAAAAACTGACTTCATTGTTCCATATCCATTTTGTTGACCATCCTTCCACTGCCCTTCGTATATACCTTGAGATGGAATTTCCATTTTACCAATACCATGAATAACACCTTTGTGAAATTGTCCTGCATATTTCCGTCCATCAGACCATTCTAATTTTCCAGAACCATGTGGTTTACCATTTAGCCATCGTCCTATATATCCAAATAATACATACTATGCATATATATTATATAATATAATAAAAATATAAAAAATATTATGCTTAACGTATGAATATATGTTTATGTATATTATGTAATATTCACGATTAAAATTCGTGGTATATAATATTGTTATACGACTTACGAACCAGTATATTTTGCATCTTTGAAAACACTGTGCTTTGTGAAAGAAAATGAGCTAGAACGTACTATTGGAGGTACATGTCCAATAACTCTTTGTAGACTGCATTTTATGGCATTTTGTAAAGCATATAACCACTCATTGCGTTCAGAAGGTGTTGGAGTATATAACACAAACGTATCCTCTGGAGTTACTATTGATATAGAATTCTAAAACATAGATATACAAATACAACAATTTTATATTTATGTCTGAATTTCACAAAAGTTTAACATACTTACTTGTACTGTTTCAGAGTCTGGTAAAGGTTCTACCCATAGTGTTTTAACTGGATGTACTACATGAGATGTACCAGTAACGTGGATAAATATATCAGTTAATAAAACAAACCAATGTGTAGAAAATCTGCCACAATTAAGTATTGACAATGGATGCATTCGCGACTCTCTAATAAGCCTTCTATCAGGAGATCTTAATAATTCTCCAAGTTTCCCAGAACTTTCCCAAAATAATTTAGTTGCTTCAGCTTCCTTTTGTTGTTTCTCTTGATCATCACATATTTGTTCCCACTTTATTAAAGCTTCTTGCAATCGTTCTACACCCATTCTTGTGCCATTACATTTCATCAAATTTAGAACCATATTTTTATATCTGTACAAAGATGATGTCTGTTATCATAAATAAGAAAATAGTAAATCATTCTTCATAGATGTATTCAAGATATTTATAATAATATTTATTTTTGAAGCAACTTCATTTTCAATTTATATTGAAAACTAATAACTTTTGCTTATTATTTTGTTCATTTTAGAGAATGATGAAAATTATTATTACTACTTTATATACATATTTAGATATATTTACCTATTTAATTTACGTAATGGATGTTGTAATGCCATTGTAATTATAGTTTCATCGGAAACTTTTTTTGTTTCATTACTTTTTAATTTGTCCATAAATAAATTTGTTATTGCTTGCGGTATTTCAATTATTTTTGCAATATATGT